AGGGAATGGTGGTGATACACTACAATGTAGTTACCAGAGTATTCTCCCACAATTTGAACTCCAAGACTATGCTATTTTCAATCCATTTAACACTCATTTGAAATTTAGTAACATAATCAGGTTTTTTACTTGTCAACTTCTATGACTTTTATTGAGAATTAAATTTGAAAAAGGGAAATAATTCACACTTTTTGATGCCACATCATTAAAAATGGGATATGTAAAAAACAGATGCAGAAATTACTAATTCTTTGATTTTTCTACTACATATGAAGCCACACTTAGTATTCAGTCTCCCACAGAATATATCAGTTTGCTACTGAAGAGTAAATAAAAGGCTGGCTTCAAATTACACTGTACAGATGTTTTAAGCAAAGGACACGTAAACACTTCACAACTATGTGCTAAAATACTTACAGACAAGGAAGACAGGGTTTGGTCTCACAATGAAGTCTGGAAAGTATAACCACTTTATGATGTTGGAGTTGAAGTTGGCATTACCACTTCTCCATGGATAGTCTGTATGACAGAAGCAAGCAAAAATGCAGTCAAAACTTTATAACAATTACTTCATCCTTTACTTCTGAATACTTATCAATTTTCCAACACTTTTATGTAAAAGAAAGCAGCAGTAACTGTCCATAAAGGTTAAGTGTCCTTACCTTTACAAGGAGCAGGTGGGATGCCAATGCAAAGGAAGTACTGGAACATAATGATGCATGCCAGAAAACAGCAGTATTTTGGCCAGATCTCTGCAATAGCTTTTCTTCTACGTCGATACAATACAGCAATCAGCCAGAAGGCATGAATCATGGCATAAAAATCCATTCGTTGACCAATAACATTCACTGATAGAAGAAAACAGGTCTGGGAAAGAAGTAAAGAAACATAAGCAACATCTGCAACCTGATGGCTAGTCAAAGCAACGATGACAAACTCCTCTGGATCCTAACAGAATGCTTGGACGTGCTGGGGCAGACTGCAGGAACCCTGTGCAAACCAACATGCTGAAACAGTTCGCATCTCTCCAACAGCAACCCCCCCCCCACTTTTCCCACCCTTCCTTCAGGGGGCAACACCTCGAATACAGTACTAAAGCAGGTTTCCATTATGTGATATCTAAAGACACAGAATGGAAAGAGCATTGTCACAGAAGCCTGTATGTGAAATGTTTAATTGTTGCCAAGCAAAGCACATATTACACAGCCATATATTTTTATAGCACTTACAGATGTGAAAAAGAAGAGGAATTATTAAGACTAACAACTAAAGTGTATCCTCATGTGGGAACGAGACAAAAAGAAAAAGGCTTTGTACCATACAACTTCTATTGGCTATAGACAAATCCAGTCAACTGCTGTAAGGCAGCTTTCATTCTCCATTCTTCTAAAGGCTTTGCATCCCAGAGCGTTTCTGTTCTCTGGCTTCACTTGAAGTAGTCTCTTTACTTGGTGCCATGAAGCATATTTTCGAACTTCATGAATAATTTGTAGTGAAACATTTCTTCATTGCATTTCACTGTTTTGATTTTCTCTCTCCTCAGATTAGGATGAGGTTAAATTTATTTCCTGAAGGAAATAGCTTGCTGATTAATTTTCACTCACTCTTAACTTTCAGACTGGCTGTGAACAGTTTACTCTGTTTATTAGTAGCAATGGGCAGTAGTGTTTAATAGATAGGTCAAGAGCACCACTAGGATTAGATTTGGGATCCATTGGCCTAGGAGTTGCCTTCTTCAGCTAGCCACAGAAATTTCTGAAAAATCACTATTTCTACAAACATTTCTAAAAGTACATTTCATGTGTCTCTAAACAAACAGATGAAGACAGGAGGCAGATATGAAGCTTTTTTTGTTGGCACTTGTGCAGCAATAGCTTGTCTTCAAGGCAGGTTCAGTCCTGATGTTTTGCTGCTGGATTGGGTGAAGTAGATAGAAGGAATACATAGCTGAACCTAAACCCCAGCAGTCTGGGCCACTGCTGCTGGCAAACAGACAAGACGACGTACTAAATAAGACACCTACCAGATACTTAGGATATATCGTGGATCTTCAGAAAAATCCCTTCACTCCTTTGTACCTGCCTCATCTAATTCTCTTTGTGCTCCTTGTCTATTGAAAAGTTCTTTGGAGAGAGAACTTTGTCTTACACTAATGGCACAAAGCAGCAATAACCTTCGCTGGAGCTCTTGATCCTGCAGATTGCTAACAGCTGTACCAACAAGTATAAAAAAGAAGGATGCATTTGTGCCAGAGGCAAAAGGAGCTTAGAAATGTTTAGACAGAGACAATGGCATGCTAGCCCCTGCTTTCTTCTTCTGCTCCTGCAGTCCCTGGTTCCCTCTGTGTGTGTGTGCATGACAGGGTATGCTTCAGTTCTGTCCCTTTTCCCATTTGTTATCCATTTTGTCGAGTTAGAAGTGAGTCATATAAGGAAAAGCAAGAGGAAAATGACTACTAGCGGACAGATAGCAACTGTGGCAAGGTCTAACATGAGTGACAACTAAGCCATCAAACACAGTTCAAGTTAGTGTTCAAAAATAAAACAATCGAAGGTTTGGAATTATAGTCTAACTAAAATTAATATGTAGTGATTTACCTCCAAGCCAAACTTGTAGAAGAAATAGTTTATGAAATACTTGACACAGTTTACCAGTCCATCATCCAGATGCGCTCTTGTAATATCATGGAAAATGGTTTTAGTCACAGGTGCAGTAAGGTTATTTCGACATCTGTAGTACTCTTGATGACGGTAGATTGTAACTTCAAAAGCCAGAATAGCCAGCATCAGTAGGTTATTCTACGGGAGACACAATCAGAAGATTATTAAATAAAAACCAAAACCACAAGCAGCCATAAAATTTTGTGATAAGCATAAACCCATGGACACTCAAATGGATGTCACCACCGAGTGCTACTGCACTCCAGGATGCACCGGCACCTATTCCCAGCTATTATCATTGAAATAAACTAAGGTTCCTACCACTTCCTGGATTTTGGTGAAACATACTGACATTCAGAAGATACATTTGAAGACATTCATTAAAAAATACTATAATGAACACTAGTCGTGGAAAAGAAGGGGAGGGAAATGCATTGACCCATCCATGGGCCCTCTCATGTTTTACAGCTTCTCTTAAGATACCATGCTTTGCTTTGCAGGAGATAGAGCATACAAGCATACACAAAGCCATCTGCAGGAATTCAGCTGGCAAGCACTAACTTGCTAAAACCGCAAGGATGCTGGGTAGCGCAAATATATCCTGGATACTCTTTTAGATAAACAGTCTATCTGCCAGTCTTCACTCAGGCACAGCTCCTTCTGTCCCAAAGCCAGACTGACTCAGATGCAGTCTTGAGCAGCTCTGAAGTGAGTTTTTTTTCTCTCGGGAGGGAGATCTGTCCTATGCTCAATGGAAGAGACGTCTTAACTGACTCCAAAAGTTGGTTAAAAAGACCTGCTCAGAGAAAGTCCCTCAAGGAAGCGGTATCTGAAGCTGAAGAAGCAATCTCTAGATCTTGATTCACTGGGAAATATTTGTGACAAAAATGGCCTGAGACAGGTGACACCGTTTTTCTCGGTTTAGGTTTTGGGTGTTTTTTGCCAAGCAGTTATTTTTGCTTGCTGTCCCTGGGCTTCCTGTTCTTGTTGGAGAGAGTTTTACACACTCCGTCATAGACAGGCTCCTCACTTCAACACTGCAGACATTTTGAATGTCTGTTATTAAAGGGGCATAACAGAAGCACACCAAGACTTGAAGCTTGCGACCTTCTGTGTAGAGGAATTTTATTTGCTACCTTCATGAAAACCCTTCTAGAATAACTTCTAATCCCAAAGTATTACCTATTTATAGCTGTAAAGCTTCTAGCATCAAGCCAGACACCACCAGGCAATTCACCCTCCATGCAGAGCTCATGGGTCAGTAATTGCTCTTTCCAACATATATTATTAACTGTGGGAAGTGTATGGCTAGGTGAATGAGAGGCAGAGGCACTTCCAGGGCCTGGTATTTTGACCACCAGAGCTTGGCAGGTCTTTCTTGCACAAACAGGGCACACAGAGGTAAGCTCTCAGGGAAGAAATGCAGAATAAATCTAGTTAGATCAAAACTTGCTGTTGTTCAGTCAAGAAATTTCTGACAACCTTGAACTGTGTATACAAAATTTTGGATACTCTTGAAATTAAGAAGAGACATGTAAGGTTTTCCCCAGCAGTTGGCACATTTTTTATTGTAAGCAGGGTTTTTTAATCAAGATAGGAATAATAAAATATTGCTCACAGGCATCAGCCAAAAAGAAGAAGAAAACCAAAAGACATCTGTTTACTACTGTCTGAATGAATTATTCCCTTAACTCATTATATTTTCTAAGCTGTAGCTAAGGAATAAGCACTTTAAAAAATTAACTGCTTATAGCATATACTGTCATTCAAGCCAGTTCCTCCAATTAGACCCATCAGTCCTTTGGTACCTGAAAGCTATGCACCTCTTAATTACTTAGAGTTTTTAAACACCACATTTCTTAGAGTGCTTTTAACAGATGGTGGAGTCAGAAAGCCACACTTCTACATGCAGCTTATCTTAATTGGTATTGAATCCCTTCTGGAAATGTCCTGTGTAACAGATATGGCTGTCTGCTGTCTCTTACCGTCTGTACTTTCCCTATTATCAACGGCTTGCATGACATTTTTTTTGTGTGGCTGATGATTTATTTCAAAGACTTTGTTAATTTCATCATAAACAAGAAATTATCTCAATACTAATAATTAAAGAAGTTACCCTTAAGTATACAAGCAGGGGATAAGACTTCCTCAATCCAACCCACTCTGCAGGATCAACTGGCCCACTGTAGAGGACTGAGGTTTTGAGTTCTTCTAAATTGACCTTAGTTTCATTCTCTCCTGGCTAAAAAGAAAATGCAACAGTTTATAAAATATTTGTTTAAGGCTGCTTGGGGAGGGAATGTTAATCAACAATAATATCAGGTGAACGGTAGTCTTCAGTGCTTGACATGCTTCCTTTTGCTCTTCTTCATTGAAGAAGGCAGCAGTCAAACCTTTGTAATATGCACTTGTACTCACCAATGTACAGTTACTGGAAAAAGTGCTGGGATCAATAGATGTGAGCTGGTACAACATTTTGCAGACAATAATCACACATGTCCAAACAGTGCAGATACTTGATGCCAATGGGCGAAACTGAGCATATGGCAAAGCAAGAGCCCAGGCAATTAAAAACACAAAGTTAAACAGAGACACCTGAAAACACAAAAACAGGATGGAAATTACATGGAGTAGCAAGAGAACTGAGAGTCTGACCTTTTCCACAGTAATTTTAAAAAAAATCATTCAAAAGAAAGGGACATAGAGGAACTGTGAGAAAAATACAGAAAAAAAATTTACAATATTCACAATGACACAGACACTAAGTGGTAAGTGAAGAATGAAAAACTTAATAGTCGGTTTAGGAAGAACACTATCTCCTACATAATATTAACACTATTAGACCCACAAAACTGCATACCCACCCTACAAACAGACAGGAAATCTGAAGGACCACATGCTGGTTCTGTGGCTTTAGTAGACATGAAACAAAGAAGAGGTGATACAGATCCGCGTGTCTGTGGAACCTGCCTTCACCCTTTTGAACTTTTTCCCCCCAGAAGATGTGAGAAAAAGGATGTTTTATTTTGTTTTTTTAGTGAATCCTGTCCTACTACACTGTTCAAGGAATGGCTATGTCAGGTAGAGAACTCACACTGCCCACACCAAAGGCACAGTTAAAGGTGTTACTCCCTTTTTCTTTAGGCGTAGTTCCATGTTCCTGTTTCTTCAGCACCAGACCCAGTTTAAGCAATTCTCCTAGATGTTCCTTCCCAACCCTGGTCTACACCCTCTATCCCTGGATGTTGCCCACAGCCAGCTTGAGCAGGAGAGGGATTACATCTCTTGAGTCCAAAGAATTAGACTAATAAAACCTTAATATCTGGAGAATAGCGCGGGGCTGAGAATATCTAGGCAGACAGAATATCACCGCGGGAGAAAATGTCAAGGCAGGTCCCAGCAGCTGACAAGCCCAGCTGGATCCCACAATTTCAGTGAGGTCTGACATGAGGAAGGCATATCCCTACACTTGGGTGCGCCACTGCACAGCAGATGCTGACAAGCCTCCACCACAGGTAAGATTTTGACGGTGGGTGTTTACTTGCCTCTTTCACTGTGACCCAGATGATGTAAGAGGAAACGATTTTGATGATGTGCAGCTCCAACAGCCACCACACAAAGACTTGCATCTTATGAAAATACTCCAGGAATTTCAAAAACAGCACTGTAAGGCGGTCGATCACCAGATGCCACTTGTTCCTTAAGTCTGCAGAGACGTTCAAGCAGAACCATTGGGAGGAGAAAAACAGAAGGTCTCTGTAAAAAGGAACGGTCCACTAGACAACAATGAGCTTTCTACTTCTTCTCTTCTAGGCCTCTGAGTAAGACAAGAAGGAGGTCAAAGGTATGGCTCAGTGGTTAACTAGGACAAAATGGAGTTGAGGCCCACTTAGCTGTGATGCTGTTCCTTCTGACCCACATTCACTGAAAGGATTCCCCACTTCAAAATTGGTGGTAGTGGCTTTCCTTGCCAATTCTGCTTTTACTCCTCTCTAGCAGAGCCCATCTTGGGCTCCATTTTCCTCCAGTATCTTTGGACCTAAACTTAGGGATCTCATGAAGGAAGGGGTTAAAAGGGATTTTAATAGAAGTTGCATTACCTAATAGTTGCTGTGCATTTAAAAAACTGATAGTGCTTATCTATTGTCTAAATTAACTGAAGCAGAGAGTCTTGCATCTCCATACAAAGGGGTTAGTTCCTGATAGGGGCTGGGAGTTGCCTAGAACCGGTCAAGACCGACCCTGCTGTATGGATGAGAGCCAGGAGAGAACTGAGTTCGTGCAGAAACAAAGGTCAATCAGCGGACGCTGTGATGAAGAGGATGGGCCTTCATCTTGGGACCCCCGACGACCACCACCAGGAGGCACTGCGCAAGCGCAGCTGGGAGGAGTCTATGGAAATTACTTCTTGGAATTAATTATAATATGGAAATTATTTCTCGGAACTGATTTTGATATGCAATGAGGACAGATGCATATTTATAGGTGTATTGGGAAATCTAATGTATATGTAATATTTGATTGTATAAATTGAAGAGACATGTTGCTGCTCGGTGCACACGACTTTGGTGGGACTACCCCCTGTGCTGCCCGGCGCCAAATAAACATACCTACTTTACAGTCTTACAGATTGTGGAGTCTGCTTTCCGCACGTCACTCATCCAGGGACTAGATCTGAGATGCTCCAGCCCTGGGCCTTAGCCAGCTCAGAAAGAATTGAATTTTGTTGACGTTTGGAAGCTATGGACCCAGTCGGTTTTCAGAAAGCATAGACTAGTGCTATTCAGAATGCTTTTCAGCCAGCGTGGAAGAGAGATCCATGTACACTGCGAGTATGACTCTTGTCACATGGGTTTAGACAATTATACTACAGACGTCTTCATATGTCAGAGTTATCTAAACTGTCTGGCAAACAGCACACCCTCGTAGAGTGTGACTTGTGCCACCCCAGGACAGATCTCTGGCAAGGCAAACTGTAGTCCAGTTGAATATTTCTCTCAGTTGAAAAGGGAGCTTTGGCAAGTTAAGATCCTGAAGTTGGATGAAAGTATCCCTTCGCAGACAGTATTTTGCTAAAAAATCATCCTCCCAAATAATACCCCGGTGAGCAAGTATGTGTCAACTTCTATTACATATGAGTATATATGACAATACATATGCTGAACAGTGCCCTCTAAGTGCTGTCTTTGCTTGTGAGTTGGCTATAAAACTGTTTCACTAGGCTGGTATATATCAGTACAAAGTCTTCACACTGTATTAGGGGTTTCAGAAGCAGTTTGGAGATTAGGAAAAATTTTTTATGCTGTGAGAAGAGAACATTCTTACAGTTAATATCAGAGATGGAAATATTTGCAATTGACACTAAAACACATCACTGTCTAAGCTGGTAAAATTCCAAAGGATTTATCAGCTTCTGTATGTAACTATTATAATTTCTCTGGTTATTTTATATATAAAACAAACCAAGATGGTTATTTTGTGCATATTTGCGTGAAGAACACATGCACACTTGTGTGAAAAAGCAGATTTTTTGAATACCTGACAACCAAACTCAATTTCTTTTCTCTTCTGCCTTTTTTTCTCCAACCACAACTTAGAAAATCCTAATAAGAATGCTGATGTAAATTCCATGAGTATATAATTATACTTGAAAAATTAATTAAGCTATAGCACTCTAATCCTACATGTGTACTTTTATAGGCACAATGAGTGTGTTTAAGGAAAGTCTTTATAGAATTAAATGTTCTCACTCATTTTTTCATTGCATTTATTTTCATTTGCAGTGTTGACATCACGCAAGGTACATCCAGACAGTGTTACTTAAGCGGAGCAGGCGGATAGGCTACTGTAGTGAGCTCCGTCTAGCATATCCAGGCACTACATGCACAGGGGATAAAATACAGTCATGACTGCATCCACTGAAAAATTTTATATCATTGTGTAATAAAGTCTGCACATGTGAACATGTTAAAATAATGTAAAACTCCAGCCACATGGCTAAATAAAATGATATAACTCTTTATTAGAAATAAATGCATGTACAGCTTAAAGATGGATCACACATAGCAAGCAGCACTTCGTGCTATTGCCAAGTCCCTGCTTGCATGTGTCGCTGCACAGGGTAGCCTCCACCAGCTGTCCCCAAGCCCTTTCAGCTGGGGATGCCCAGAGTGCAACAAACTCATCACCCCTCGTAGACCACATGAGAGCTGGTCAAGAAAGGTTCCCATAGCCCATGAACATCTCTGTGACAGAAGACATCCCAGCCAGGAAAGGTAAATAGTTTCAGCTCAGCTTCCCTGGGACAGCTAAGCCAGATGTGCTGCCGTTTTGCCTTGACAAAGATGCTGTCCCTATTTATGTGTCACAGTCCTGTGAATATTGGCACAAGCAACTAAATCTGTGGTAGGGCCGTTTCCAAACAATACAGCTTCCTTGGGTGTTAAATGCCCTTCCTTGGTTTTCACTCATGGCTCATACTCCAAACTGAATAACAGAAATAATTCATGTTAGGAGTTCATCCTAGTAATATCAAGGATGACAGCATCAGCCTTACCCATATCTGCTCTTAAGCATTTTTATGTTCATCTGGCATCAATTACGCATTCCATATTCAGAAGTGAAAAATATGACACTAATGTGTACATGAATAATGAAGCAAAGCCATTGGGACTTCTGGAGTGGAGTGTCTTGAAAGCATACAGTATCAGATATTAAATATGTATGCGTATTTTCTTTATTACAAAGAGATTTGACTCTAGAGGAGTTCTTAGGATTTGGGGTAATCTCCTATTAATCCAACTCAGACCACCTAGAAGAGTTCTCTCCTGAAGAAAGAAATGTTTTTTTTTTTTGTTTTCATCCTCTCAGCATCCTACAGAAATCGTATGATTTTTCCCTAGAAGAGACTGTAGCCTGTTGAATAATTGACAAATAGCCATCTGCTCAGTTCAGGCTCTTTTGTCAAAGACTCTATGTAAAATTAGAAGGAAAACATGATGATTGAAGTGAGCAGGGATGATCAAGAATGAACCATCTGTCGCCACAGTTAACTAAGGCTGAGGAAGGCAAAATGTGCAATCCGCAGAGCTTACCTGTAGTTTCTTCTTCCTCTGATTCATTGTCTTCATCATCGTCATCCTCTTTGTCTTCATCTTCCTTTTCTTCTTCTTTTCCTTTTTTGACCCTCCCTTTCCCTCCCTCCCCCTCTGGCTCTTCCATTCTTTTCTCACCAGCCTCTTCCAGCATTTTATCCTCTTCCTTTTCTCTGCTGGCTGTTAAATTCATCATAGTTATGTCCGGCAGGCTTCCATCTTGGTGTACCAGTCTGTTGGTAAATAGTAGCATGTCAACAAACTCAGCAGTAATGACATCATAGTCTTTCTCTTTTTCAAGATGTATAATTAGAAAAAATAAACCATTCATGGAAAATGCCTTAGAAGTGGAAAAGTTAATGATTCTGGTACTTTCTCCAAACACGCACTGCAAATTGAGTTGGAATGTATTAGTAACTACTTCTCACTCAGATACTAATGGTTAGTTAGTAATGAGTGGCATTGACACTTAAACTTGACATTTTCCCCACTGGAGAAAATGGTCAGAGTTTAAGATGTAGAAGCATGAAATGACATTGTTTAAGAGGAAACATTTCATGACTTCATAGGGGACTTACTCATTTTGGTGGTTTGGTATTTTTTTCTTGAGGCTGCTCAAAGTAATTGGAACAGAAAGAAAAAGGGAGATGAGAACAGAGGGGTTACAGAAGAAGGTCACTGACAAATACGTCATGCTACGTCACAAGTCATAAAGCATTCTCCTACTCCATCTGCAGAAGCCTTCTGATGCCAAGAGCATGCCATCATGACATTCACAGGGTGCTTCTACAAAAGAAACATGGATTTGCAGCACAGATGGAAAGGGGTAACCTATTTACACCAGTGCTAGACATGGTCAGTGCTGTACCATGCTGTCAGTAATGCAGCTGAATCATCACAAGTATCTGACTAATTACTGTAAATGCATTTCCACCTTCTTCCAATTCAAAAGTGCAGCTGGAAAGCCAAGGAATTTGCAAGTATTCTTCCAGTGATAGGCTTGGGAACAAATGAAAGCAAAGATTCCATGGCTGTGGCTTCAGTATATTTTATCATGTCTGTCTTCGATATTGCCATTCATTCTCTCTCTTTTCTGCATCCACAGAGAAGTCTGCTTATATTTGTACCTGTCTCTTACTAAATCTGTTAGTAATTTTCAGACTACCAAAACTGAGATACATGGAAATGGTATTTCTCTGTTGCCATGGCACCATTTTTATGAGATCTATTCAGCATATAACTTTTCTTTATTGAGAAAAGATACACTCTCTTATGGCTTCAGATATTTTCTTCCCCTCACTCCTGAGCTGTGCTGCTGGGACTCACCTCCAATATTTGCAGAAAACCCACTTTCCCTAACTCCCTGATACTATGTGCTTTGCTGAGCACAGTGTTTACTCTGTAAATAGTCCCTTTGAATATGATTTCTTGCAATAAAGTCTCCCTTTGGCAAGTGCATATCTACATGATCAATTCACTAAATTTTCAGCTGTGCTACTGTACTTACCACACTCAGTCACTACTTTCAAGCACCTGTTAGACTCTTCCTGGACTACTGCAAGTACCTTTAATACGCTACAGTATTATCTCAGGGCTTTATTTTTCATGATATGAAATTCTGGCATATTACCATTTAGACAGGAAATTCTGCCAGTTTTAACTAGGATTTTTACAGTTCACAAAACTAAATATCTGGATTTAACCACCTGATCATTAAAAAATAAGAGCATAGGCTAAGCAAAGTCAAACAAGCAGAATTATTTTGCCAGTATTTGGGAGCTGCAGTTTCTTAAGGATGGAAACTTTGGTGGCTCGAATGAGGGAAAAGCTACAGAACTAAGCAATCCTGAAGCAGTAATATACCAATTACCAAGAAGCAGAAAAGGCAGCTCGAAAGCAGAAGTTTAACAAGACAGTCAAGCACCGAATGATTTCACCGAATAAATACATGCATGACAACAATTTCTAAAATCCGTCATCATGGATCAGGCTATGAACCTGAGTGACCAATAATCTGAAAATCTCTTATACTCAACAATATAACAAGCAAACAACAAGCTTTGGCTATTGAAAATAAAGCTTTTTCTCCCATATACTTTATTTTCATATTTAAGCTAGCATACATACTAACAGGATAGTCAAATCTCTGTAAAATGACTAAACAATAATATTCCCTGAAATGACATAAAGTAACTTTGCATATCTACCTAAAACTCTAATCGTGTACCAACAGAGCGGTCATTAAAGAAGAGAGAATGAATTCTGAGTTCAGTTCAAATGTTAAGCAGATCTTCGGTTACTATAAATCTTCAGAGACCATTTAAAAGGCAATGCCTCAAAAAATGAAAGTATCCATATAGTCAGACAGATTTTGCACACATGTAATAGCATTGATTTTAACGAGCTATCTTCCCAACCGACTTTTATAATGGAAAAATCTACATTCACACTGGTGTAAATCAAGGACTTAATGACTTACCTCAGTGTAAACTGCACAGAAACACAGTAACCCAGTAAGGATTTTCTATGAGAGGACTCATCTTTCTCTTATTCATATAACCCCCATTCATATCCAGGAGATCCAGAAGGTGATGGGGTTATAAAGACAGGTACATGCAACATACACCCCTGATAAAGCCTGAGTATGAGCTTAGTTTTCAGTATGCTGGTGCTTAGTTCTACTGACATCAGTAGGCTTGAGCACAGCGCCATGTGCTTAGGACATACAAGACCTGATAAAAATCCCTTCCCACTATTCAAAAAGTTAGTCTACTTGGAATCTTTCTTCCCAGACCTCCTCATTTATTGCTAGGGTCAATCTTCCTCTTTTCTAATTTTTTTTTTCACTACAAGATCACATGATCTCATGTAACAGACTACACTGAGGTATTAGGATATGAAAACTGCACTAGTTTAGAATATCTAAGACAAGCTACCCATACAGGCTTCACAGTTAGTCAGGTGTAACTTCAAGTTGAAAAACATATATTGGTGGGAAATTATGAGAAGAAACACATAGGTATTGTGTCTGATACTTAGGAAGAGAAATAACTAATAACACAGACAACAAGCCCTGATGGTACAGCCACTAATGCTTTTAACTGAGAGCATTTCTTACCCTGAATTTAATTAAATAGGGTTTCAGTAATGAGAAGTATACTAGTAGATCTAGTTTTAAGAACAAATTCAATTTGAGAGGTGCTAAAATCAGGTATGTGCCCCAGGTCCTTGCTGGACTCCTAGTACTTTCATCTATTTGTAATTTGCTAGAGCAGAAGATTAATAACAACTTACTGGATGAAGCATCTTATGCCTTTGATTGTTTTTTGCCATCAGTTTGTAAATTGCTTGAAACTTTCTGTCCCAAAACAAATTCTCAAGTATCTATCATGCACAGCCTTAAAACCAGAGAGCTTTCTGCTCTGCAGAACATTAGTGACCCATCTCCTGAATATTCAGCATGCAAGACTCAAACTGAGCACACAATGCCACACCTTTATTGGCAGGACCCTGAGCGCCTTCCCTGACCTTGCAGGGGGTTTTGCTGCCTGCATCCAAGGCCAGCTGGATGGTATGTGCTGGAATGAGTGGACAAGCTTCAGCGCAGGTGGTCCCTCTGCTTCCTTTCGGAGCTGCTTTCACGCTGAGGCTCTTGCCCCTACACGGTGGCTGGATCAGAGCTATGCCTGCGCCTGCTCCCACCCCTCCCTGACTCTATGTCTGACACACAGACTGGCTCCATGCCTTCACCTCTCATCTGGATCATCCCTGTGGACTTGCTGGGAGCTCCCCAGGTTGTGACTGATCCTTGTTACTGTCTCCAGATCTGATCCTCACCCTCATTTGCCGGTTCCCGTTCCTGATTCCCTGTGGGTGAAAGGCCAGCCTTGCCTCCTGGCTGTGCCCCTTGGCTCTCGTCATGCCTGCCCTCACTGCTCCCTGACACACAGGATTCCTACAGACTGGGTTTCCAGCTCTGGGGAACTTTTAAGAACCCTGGCCTAAACTACATGATGACATTTGAAGAAGGAGCATAAACGTGACACGTAAAACAACTTCTTGTCAGAGCAGGTAGTCACAAATGTCTAAACAAGGGATTTTCTCAGCTTTTCTGTTCATATTCAGTAGTGAAAACAAACACAGAAGTCCTTCTAATCTTGGAGCTTATTAAACAAAAGCCCACTTTTACTGCAATCAAATATTTTGACAGAGATCTACCTTATGGAACTGTTTTCAAGATGCCATTTATAAAGGGATGACGATGATGGCAATATGGGCTTCTGTAGTTTGGATCCTGCAGCACCCAACTCAGCCTATGAATTAACAACCTTAGCATGCAGTGGTTTCAGTGTAGTGCATGTTCCATTTCTGTTTCTTAATCAGGAAATCTCAGTCTATGCAAACTCATAATAAATACTGCATATTTAATTGACCTCAATTTTTCACTCTATTTTTTTTTTTAGGTGGTTGTAAGAAAGACAAGGACATGCGTCTTTGTGTCTGTGTGTCTTTGTGCACATGCAAGCATGCATCTTTCCATGCACAGAAAAAGGGTAGATAAACGAGCCTCCTCAACCAAGTCTGTTGTCTGCAGCCAATTACAAATAGCACCAATTACTCCTGTATTGAGGAACGGGCAAAGTTTAAGAGAAGAATTCCCAGCTGAAAGATGAATTCACAAAGTATACATACACAGGAGAGCTTCACCAGTTTTAGGAGATTACAATACCTGAACAACATTCTCTCTTTGCTTATTTCACAGTTTTGTGCAGCAAGAACATACTTTGTTTTCAGGCAATTAAGAAGTAACAAAAAAAGTTAAGGTACATTTCTTTTAAAGGAAAGGAAGAATTGAAGTACCCACCTATTAATTATTAGATAGACACGGCCATTGACTTTGGCATGGCTATGAGGTGGGAAATGAAAGCACAAGAATGCATGAGATGAAAATGGGAAATGAATTAGAGAGAGAGAAAAGGAAACTGTTAAATAGGAATGAATGCACTTTCCTGTCTATCAAGAGAGACACATTGTCATAAACAAAGCACAGTCTGAAAGCATAACATACACTGTGCAGTGAAAAGTCTAGGAAGCTTATAAATGCAATACTTGGACATTTAGACCTTATGCAACTTCAGTTAAAACTGCAGGTTGTTTTCATAGACCCCAAAATATGAGACCAGCCTCTACTGCTTTATCTCAAGTAAGCCACAGAATATTCTCCAAATTTTTAAAAATAGCTACTTTGCTTCTTTTTTTATTTAAAGGTGATTATAATGGAGCATCATGCCACAGAAACTATCTGTCTCACAGCCTTTATCTCTGCCGTATCATAATTCATGCTGCAGCAAGTAAATGGACTTGGGAAGTCCTAATCAGAGGATTTTTATTTCTCTTGCAGATGTAAAATTGACCTTTATAAATAGTGAGAAGTACCTCACTCTGCCAGCTCCAGTGTGCCAGTTCCTGTCCACTCTATTTGCAGCTGGCAGAGCCTTACTCTTCAACTCACTCTGCAGACTTTGTTCATGTGAAGCAGCATCTTAATACATCAACAGTCTTGAAAATTTTAACAGGACTCTTCAGTTAGATACTAACATGACACCATAATCATACAAAGCAGTTCAGGGACAGATGGAAGAACTGAAGCTGCTTTGCCTATTACTTTCAAGACTAGCTCTCACCTGCAGTGGTTGTTTTAACAAGTTCGCTATTGTAAGGATCGAGATCTGTCTGCTTACTCAAAATTGAGGTTCAGTTTCTTTATTTAAAATGTTTTGTTTGTTGCAAAAGAATCAGCACAGAAGCAGTTTTGAAAGGTAAACTAGCTGCTGAGTGAATGCTAGTGTTTTCAAAGCAAAAGGGAAAATGAAGTTTTGTGGCCTTGTAAGAAAATTATACATATATATACGAGTCTTCAATCTGCGTTTTAGTTGTCCCTGCAACTTCTTTCTACTGCTAGCATTACTGTTAAGCTGGAGCTGGTTGTTGTGCTAGTTCTCATCCAGCTTTGTGCATTACCAATACAAACATCAACTGAGCTCTCATCCTGAAGCTTTGAACTATAAAGTCAGCTGATGCTCAGTACTGATTTATTGCACCAAGAGGGAAGCAAACAACTGGATCTTCCTATGTGAAGCATTGCTAATGGTAATACAAACCAGAAAAAGTGTTATGATTTGGGTATTGGACACACTTGTGAAAATTTCTGAGGAGAAACAAACAATATATGTGATAACTGTGATTTTGAAATACTGCAAAATGGCAAGTGTAGCAGGTACACCACATTTAAGAGTTAAAAATACCTAGCTACTTATCTGACAGCTCATCACAATCTAGGACACTTTTAGACTTCAAAAACCAGCAATAAAGTAGCAAGGCAAAAAAGCTAATGATATCACACAATCCTCTTTACCTGCCTCATTGCTTCAGTAAAAAGCCTGGTTCGACAACAAATGTCTACTTTCAGCATCCTATCTCCAGGAAAATTACTCCTGGTAAAAATGTCACTGACTACTGACTAAATTTGCATCCTACAACTTTCTTCTCTGATACTACTTTTCTCTTTAATTTTTTTTTTTTCTCTCAACAGGACACTGAAAACATTTTGTGTCTTTACTTTCAATGGTTCCATCCTCCAAGAATAATGTGACTTTAGTCACAGTCATTCTGTTCATGCCAGCATTTGGAGAGCTGTAGCTAATAGTTTGGTATCTTTCACATATAACAGAAGGATTTGCCAGTAATGCTTTCACAGGCAGTGTACTGCACCATGAACCCACCTAAATCCTGGGAGTGCCTTGGGTTGTTTTTTTTTTTTTCCGTTTTGTGCCTATTGGATCACAGTAGGAGGGAGGTTGAAGCTGTTTGTATGCTACTCAGCACAAGCGCAAAGTATTGCGTGGTTACGGCAGACTGTAGTGCCTTCCCCAAATGCCGCAGCCCAGAAACAACCCCTGTTTCAGCTCAGACACTTGTCTGGGCTTTGGTTTCAGGGCTTGGCTGCCCAGTTCAGAGATGTTAACGTGCACGGCTGCTGCACAAAAAGTTTGCTATGGGCAAAGAAAGTTTGCTCACAGCCCATTTCAAAGGGTCCTTGAATCTATCATCAGATTTAGTAATTCAAGAAAAGCAAAAGGAAAAAGTATTATGCAAACAGTCATTTAAAAAGGCAAGTTAAAAAAAATTACAACATTCTTAGGAAATCTTATCAAGTTTGATTTGTTCTGGTTTTGGCAACTTATTTAAACAGAGAAACCAGAAGCATTCTATGAAAGTAGAGCTTATTCACATGCACTGCTGATAGGAAACACAAACATACTTGTACCATACACTGTAAAGTTGCTTCATGTCAAATTGAAAGCATGAAAAATATCTGAAATGCTTTTGTAAATCTAGCAAGTCTTAGAGCAGAAATCTCTCTCAAGATAAAGTGTCATTATTCTACAACACACTGTGGTGTACCTGATGTTATGCAGCTCGTCCCCATTTATAGAAGTGCAGCTGAGTTATACTTATCAGTGGACAGGTAAACACTCTAAAAATACTGTCTAAATGAATTGGCTTCTTCGAAGAATTAGAGTAAATGTCATTGCATAATATGACACTGTACTATGAAACCATTTCTCTCTCTTATACTCCTGGAGCAGGATGCTAGGCCAGATATGTTTTTATGCAGGAGAATATGGATGAAATAATCACAGGAAAAATGAGGTCCCAGAATAATGAAAAAATCATAATAAACTTCTTGATGAGATCACCGAATGTCTCAAAGAGCTAGCATAGCCAAGGGTCAGTAATTTAAAGAGTGACCATAGGTCTGGGATTTTTCCATTTCTGAAGTTTAACTTTACAAAAAGACCTAATTGTCCAATGCAAACGTGGTATTTGCCAAAGATCTCCCAGCCTTCATTTGGCCCTCAAAATGTACACTGAAAAACAGAAATGACCCAAATTAAAAGCCATCTTTTCTATTATTGACAGGGCTTACAAAAAGGCACACATAGCAATTAAATATCTAACTCCCATTAAAGGTCAAAGACAATGAGATAAATAAATAAATAAATATTATCAGTACCTTTGAAAATGTGCCCCAAAATGAAAAACTTTCATGTGTAGGGGAAAGTGGGGGAAGACAGATACTTTGGTTGTGGTTTGTTTAGCGGGGTGCTGGATACTAAGGGGTGTTGATTATTTTTTCTCCCTTCTTTTTAAACGGGGTAGTCATAGCAAAGGCAAATAACACCTAATGAAAAGTAAGCATTACAAGACAGTCAGAAACATCATTTTCATACAGGTAATGAATAGCTCCATTTACTTTGTTTCTTTACCTGTAGATAGTGTTGTCCTGTTTGCTGGTTACAGCTTTTAAATCAGTGAGCTGGAGAAATCGGTCATGGAAATAGTGAAGGTGTAAGATACACGCCAGTAGGAAGGAGGTAGGGATAAAGATGCGTGTGAATAGCTCAGCCACAGAAAACTTTTTTAAGCCAAGGTCCGCTAGTCTGGAAAAAAAGATAAGCCACTAAGTCACCTTTTCACACCAAAATCTTTTCCTTGCCATGAGACATTATTACTAATCATTTGCAATGGGAAATAAGAGGCTGGTACTTGTTATGTGGTTTTAGTTCTTTAGATTCTTCTAAGCCAGCAAGTTTCATGATGCAAATATCTTGCATTTGGACTCAGTAATGTAGAGCGATACTGTAAACGTACAGATCTAAATTAATCAAACCCGCCATAGATCTCTTCAACCTGATGAGTTGTCTCTGACAGACAGACTGGAGTTGTCTCTCCACTCACATTGCATATACTTTCTTGCATAAGCCCCTGTTGAAAAATGCCCAACACATCATGAGGCCCACCTTCATCAGCTCCAGACATCCTGCAAATCTACCCTTACTCTCTCCTTGGATCTTGCTCCTATGGTCAAAGAGGTAGAGAGAAGTATTGGCACTGTATTGGGAACAGGAGCGGTGCCAAGGCCTTGGCAGCAGATGGGAGGAAATATGATTCTTGGAGCCCCTCTCTTGTTCTTGCTGATTTCTATTGTTACACCAATAAATCTACGGCTTCACAGCTGAGCGCTCAAAGTCAGCTATGCCTGGGGATGGTCTCATGATGTTTTTCCCTCACAAGAAGGAAGAGTGCTCTCAGACCCTTCCACCACACTGAACTCAGAAGTCCAAAGAAAAAAATTAAATTAAATGGAAATGCTTACTTGTTTTCATCCAGGCCCGTCATGTTCTTCCACAACCCAGGGAATGATTCAAACTGGTATGTGTAGATGAAGATAAGTACCAACATCGTGTAAACAACCACTGACATCCAAAAGTATTTCAAAATCCTTCTCCACCATTCATAGTGTACCTGAGAATCACACACTAAAGATGCTGAAACAAGCTGAAGGCAAAGACACTGACAAAAATACTGACAACACTGTACTGGAAAACAAAGACTAAGAATACTGTTTTTCCTAGCTGGTCTGAAGTAAACAACACTTACCCAACAGCAGCCATAGTTCTTTGAGATACAGTTTTCACTCCTGATGCACATGCACTGCAGTACAGACTTGTGTGTAAAAATGTCTGTTGGAACATGGCCACAGACATAAAGGCCAGGGACAGCTTCAGTCACCCAGTTTCATCACCATTAGGTGATGAAAGCCCAGGAAGAGCAGGGCTCCACGCTCACTGCGGTGTGGCAGCTGTGCGCATCAGCCGTCACAAAAACTGGCCCAGAACTTTTTGCACACAGGCCCAGAACTTTCCCACACAGGTTGCACAGTTTGTGGTGATGTGGGGTGGAGTCCCAAAGCAGAAGTGTGTATTGTACGCATCTAATTTATGTGCACTTTGCCTGTCACTATAATCAAAAGCCAAAGGAGAATTAGCCTTAACTCCTTCAGATGATCTTATTGTGGTGTATCTAACTAAAGAACAAACACACTGTCTAAGAAATCTGTTTGGAGCTATTTTATTACCAAGTTAAAGGTATGAACCATTGTATTCAAAGACAAAATCTAGTTAACACAGTTCTCACTTACCTGATAGAGGGCCACACAGAAGAGGAACAGTACCATATAGATGATTTTGTACATGACAATTCTACCCTCAAAGCTGACAAAGAAGAACATGCCCCCACAGACGTAAATCCAGTACTTGATGAACATAGCCATCACCAGCTTCCCCAGGACTTTCATAATATCCTGTTCATCCTCATCATCCTCTTCCTCCTCCTCCACCTCCTCCTTCTCCTCTTCCTGTTCTTCTGCCACTTCTCCCTCTTGCAACTCCTCTTCTGCAAACACAGAGTCACATTTGGCCTCTGTCTGGTTTTGGGACTTTTAGTAAGAATTGAAATGGGTAGGAAACAAAATCTCTGCACACAACACAGAAACCTAAAACACAGTATTCACAAGGGACTGCACTTCTGTATCATACATGCCTCCAGAGCAGGGGAAAGCATTTTAACTTAATATACTCCTGGAGCCATACGGTGCATACCTATATGTCCTTAGCAGACACCCATCTTCACTTTGTCCGAAATGCAGGCAGCTGTACTGGAAAATTAGAGCCTAAGGGTTATATAATGGATAACAGTCACAACACTTTCCATGACACTACCTATACTCCCAGGCAAGAAACCTTTTAAGCTGGAAAACAAAGAAAGCACCAGCACCACCAGAAACCTCTCATCTTGAGTTTAAAGTTTAAACTCTCATCTGGAGTTTGAACTTCTCATACTGATTTTCATCCTTTAGAGAATATTGTGGTTACCACCAAAAACCACAACCAAGAGAAAACATTAACATAAAATGAAACAACCTTAAAAAATTTAAATGCTGCACTAACACTGCTGTTTTTCAAAGAAACTACCGCTTTTCCAGATTCTTGTGCTGTACCGGAGCCACTGCAGAAAAGACAATCTGCTTTTGCCCTATGAAGAGGTCAGGATTCCCCAGCTAATAACCTTGTGAAGCTTATGGAGGGCAGGGTAAGTGTCCCCCGAACAGCAATTACATATAAGCAAGTATCCAGATAGCAGGGTTTGTCAACCTCATAGCACGTAGCTGTAATGCTCTTCTTCACATTGAAAACAATATCGAGCCTTCACCACCAAAGAGCTCGCCCACTCTTTCTGTCCCACTCATCATCCCTCTTCTCAAACTCTTTCCTTGCTCTTGCCTTGCAAATCCTTGCACTGTCCAGCCCTGACACTGATCATATGTTTTAGTTAGACAAATATTTTAATTAATCAAGAAGGAAGCTACATCACTGCTTCCTGGGCTGGCTTTCTCCCATTTCAGTGAGTTGAATTTCTTCAGATCAGCAGCCAGAGAGACAGAAAAGGGCAAGAAAGGTTTAGGGGAACATAAGCTCAGTAGCTAAAGAGAGAACAGGTCACCAAGCTGTTAGATGAGCTGAAACTGTAGCAGTAAACTTTGCTCTCAGGTATGCTTCTGATAGCATGAGCCCCTGCACTGAAAATATCTATGCTTATTTTCCCACTGAAATTAGTAGTTTAACTTCTGGCTTTGTACAAGTGTTTATCTACAAATACAACCTTCAAGGAACTTAGCAACTGACTTTTCCTATGTAAACTCTTCTCCCGTGGTTAAACTCCTATGGAAATTAATCTGCTGGTTAGAATACGGGATACGGGAGTAAACTGATTACTTGAATGTTCGATGACATTTCTCAAATGAGTCACTTCAATTGTCTTTCAATAAAAAGAATTCTCATTTTATCTGCATTTCTGAAGTTCAAAGGTGTTTTATTTTTTATATCCCGAGAGACAGTTGCACATAGATTTTGTAATATCTTTCTTAGCTAATAACAGATATCTTGCTAATTGCTTTCAGCATTACAGAAATGCAGTAACTGGAACTTCTATCATCACTGAAGGGCTAAATTGGAGGTGGCTTTACCTTTTTCTTCATTTTCTTCACTTCCAACTTTGACCTCAGATAAAGTAGCTTCTTTTAGTCGAAGTGCTTTCTGTTCAGTGAGGTGTTGCCTAAGCAGTAGCCAGAAAGTAATTGTGAAAAGAATCTGCAAACAAAAATCAAAACAAAACCAACAAACTAATTGTATATCCTATATCCTGCTAATACAAACATATGTTTTCATAAATTTTTCATGTCTTTGTTTTCTGTCCATCAGAAATGGTAATGATGGCATCCATGTCAAAGTGAAAGTTAAGTCATTCAGGAGATGTTCTATATTGAAAACAACTTTATTTCATTTGCACTTTTCCATTGAGTAATACCTTTTCACTCTGCATCTTTTCTTAAAGGTATTTAGCTATACAGTTCTATTCTCCCCCATTCTGTTCAGTTTTTAACTCCTGTCTTTAACTTTAAGGATTTTCTCATTATATATTGATTGGTACAATTTCCATCTGTCCATTTTTGTTCATTTTTCCCTTTTTGCAGGGAAGAAGCACAAGCAGGTGAGGCTATTGTCACTATTAGGGTTTGGTATATATCTTAAGTCTTTTGATTTAGGAGATTTGGTACTTCAGGTGCATAAATACAATTAATTCAAAAATCCAACATTTCTTTGATGCCTTTAAGTTAAAAAGACATGGCCAACTGAACGCACCTTGCATTTGGAGGAGTTACAAGATTTAAGATGGCTCTTAATCCTTTGAAGAGCATTAAGATATGATAATTCCATAACAGCAGAATACTTCAAAATAAACAGATCTCTTTAATGAAGACTGCATTTCTGTGTTTTGCAAAAAGCTAAATTCAACAGTTTGCAATACTGAGATGGCTAAAATTCAGAAAACAGCATGATGCGTGTTCATCACACACTTGATTTTATGTTACATTCTGCAAAGGTTCCACTGATTTCAGTGGCGCAGATCAAGGTTATTTCACTACTTTATAAGGTAGAAAAATAAAATCTCAAATAGGAAGCATGTAAAAGCCAAGCATTTTGCATACAATAGAATGATAAGGCAAATATTACAATGTAAAGACCTCTTCTGTTTTTCATTTAACCTTCAAGTACTTCAAGTGGGAAAGGAGAGATCCCAGGCTAGTGACAGCTGTTTTCACTGACTCTGTGGCTAATACTGAGTTGCAGCAGAAGATTGTCAGCCTGTGTGAATTGTCACAGCATCTCCAGATACAGAATCACAGAATCACAGAATGTTAGGGGTTGGAAGGGACCTCTGTGGGTCATCTAGTCCAGCCCTCCTGCCGAAGCAGGGTCACCTACAGCAGGCTGCACAGGACCTTGTCCAGGTGGATCTTGAATATCTCCAGAGAAGGAGACTCCACCACCTCCCTGGGCAGCCTGTTCCAGTGCTCCGTCACCCTTCAGAAGGAAGAAGTTCTTCCTCATGTTCAGACGGAACTTCCTGTGCTTCAGTTTGTGCCCATTGCCCCTTGTCCTGTCGCTGGGCACCACTGAAAAGAGTCTGGCCTGATCCTCCTGACACCCACCCTGCAGATATTTATAAGCATTTATAAGGTCCCCTCTCAGCCTTCTCTTCTTCAGGCTGAACAAGCCCAGCTCCCTCAGCCTTTCCTCATAGGAGAGATGTTCCAGTCCCCTCATCATCCTCGTAGCCCTCCGCTGGACTCTCTCCAGTAGCTCCTCATCTTTCTTGAACTGGGGAGCCCAGAACTGGACACAGTACTCCAGATGGGGCCTCACTAGGGCACAGTAGAGGAGAAGGAGGACCTCCCTCGACCTATTGGCCACACTCCTCTTAAGGCACCCCAGAACCACTGGACCTCTGCCTTTTGCAACACAAACCACTGATATTGTAAAACAGGGATTTGTTTTGCAGTGACTAGCTCTGTCTCCTCACTGCATTTACACCTTGTTCTCTTTGGCATTTCCAGAGCCAGAGCTGGCTCTCTGGAGAGTCTTGAAGGGTTGCAGATCAAAGAAATGCTTTTAGTTCACCTTTTACAGTATCCATTTTATTTACTTTTCAGACCAGGAAACACACACGTAGGGTGCAGAAAATCATGCAGAAGGAATTACAGTACATTTTTTTCGGTTTTCCTCTCTTTGCAGAATACGGCATCCAATCTTTCTTTAAATTGAAGCTCTATTCAAAGGACTTTAAACTTGGAATAATGGGGAGGGACAGAGTTACTAGCAGCCTTGAGAGGGACTGATGGACAGGGCTGACAAACAAAGAGATCAGCATGCCAGGTGCCTCTCTGAAGTGCCTGTACACTAATGCATGCAGCATGGGGAATAAACACAAGGAGTTAGAGACATCTGTGCAGGGCTATAATCTTGTTGGGAACACAGAGACAGGGTGTGATGGCTTGCATAGCTGTAATGGAGAGACACAGGCTCTTTAGGAAGCACGGGCCAGGAAGATGTGGAGGTGGAGTTGCAATTTGCTTGAGGGAACAGCTGGAACGCATGGGCTCTGCCTGGGGATGATGAGCCAGGTAACCTGAGAGGAATATAGAGACATTGGCCGAGCATGCAGAAACATGCTTAGAAAAGCTAAGGCCTGAAGCTGAGTCTGACAAGGCATGTCAAGAGCAACATGAAGAGCTTTATTAAGTACACAAGCACAAAAAAGAAGTCTAGGGAAAATGTGGGCCCACTGCTGAGTGGGACAAGGGCCTTGGTGACACAGGACATGGAAAAGTCTGAGGTACCAAATGCCTTCTTTGCCTCAGTCTTTGCTAGCATGACCAGCCTTCAGGAATCACAGGTCCCAGAGACTGTGGAAAAGTCTGAAGAAAGGAAGACGCACCCTTGGTGGAAAAGGATCAGGTTGGGGAATACCTAAGCAAACTGAGCATATGTAAGTCCATGGTTCCTGATGCGATGTACCCACGAGTCCTGAGGGAGCTGGCTCACGTCATTGTAGAGGCTAGTCTCAATAATCTTTGGTTGATTGTGGTGACCGGGAGAAGTGCTGGAAGACTGGAGGAAAGCAAATGTCACCCCTATCTTCAAGTAGGGCAAGATGGAGGATACAGGCCGGTCAACCTCACCTCAGTCCCTGGGAAGGTGAGGGTGGTGGGACACTGGAGCAGATTGCCTAGAGAAGTTGTGGATGCCCCATCATTGGAAGTGTCCAAGGTCAAGTTGGACGGGGCTCTGAGAAACCTGATCTAGTGAAAGATGTCCCTGCCTATGGTAGGGCAGGTTGGATTAGATGATCTTTAAAGGCCCCTTCCAATTCAAACAATTCTATGATTCTATGGTGATGGAGCAGCTAATCCTGGAAACCATTTCCAGGCACATGAAGGATGAGAAAATCATCAGGAATAGTCAGTGTGGATTCATCAATGGGAAGACATGCTTGACCAGCTTGAAAACTTCTACGATGAAATGACCGGCTTGGCAGATGAGACGAGAGAAGTGGATATTGTCTATCTAGACTTTGGGAAGGCTTTTGACACTGTCTCCCACAAGATCCTCATAGACAAGTTGGTGAACTATGGGCTGGATGAGCAGACCATGAGGTGGACTGAAAACTGGCTGAACAGCTGCGCTCAGAGGGTGGTGATCAGTGGCATAAAGTCTAGTTGGAGATCAATGACTAGCGACGCACCCCAGGGGTCAATACTGGATCCAGTCCTGTTCAGTATCTTCAATAAATGGTGCATGAGTGGGGGATGACGGAGCAGAGTGTACCCTCACCAAGCCTGCTGATGATACAAAACTGGGAGGAGTGGCTGAGACACCGTAAGGTTGTGCTGCCATCCATACGGACCTTGACAGGCTGGAAAAATGGGCTGAGAGGAACATCATGCAGTTCAACAAGGGGAAGTGCAAAGTCCTGCACCTGGGAAGGAACAACCAGTTTATGCTTGGGGCCGATGAGTTGGAGAGTAGTTTGTCAGAAAAGGCCTGGGGGTCCTGGTGGACACCAAGTTGAAAATGAGCCAGCAATGTGCCCTTACAGCAAAGAAGGGTAATCCCTAATCCTGGGATGCATTAGAAGAAGTGTTGCCAGCAAATCGAGGGAGGTGATGCTTCCTTAATACTCAGAACTGGTAAGGTCATAATTCGAGTGCTGTGTCCCATTCTGGTACCCCAGTACAAAAGACACATGGATGTATTGGACACAGTCCAGTTGAATGTCTGTGAAGATGAAGGGACTGCCGCTTCTCTCCTAGAGAGCTGGGACTGTTCAGCCTGGAGAAGAGAAAGCTCAAGTGGAATCTCATTTAATGTCTATAAATACCTGAAGGGAGGGTGGAAAGAGGATGGAGCCAGGCTCTTTTCAGTGATGCCCAGTGATGCGACAAGAAGCAATGGGCACAAACTGAAATATAGGAGGTTGACTCTAAACATTGGGAAACACTTTTTTTACTGTGAGGGTGACTGAACACTGGCACAGGTTGCCCAGAGAGGTTGTGGAGTCTCTATTCTTGGGGATATTCAAAAGCCATCCGCACATGGTCCAGGGCAATCAGCTCTAGATGGCCCTGCTTGAGTAGAGGAATTGGACCAGATGACCTGCAGAAGTCTCTTTTGACCTCAACCATTCTGTGATTCTGTGAAATTTACAGAATGTATTATATTCAGCCTAAAAAAACCCACCAGACATCTTCTGTTAATTTTATGGGTGTGGCCAAATCATCATTTATACGCAACAGTTTCCTGTCTTGACACCAGCTAGTTTTAGATAAGATATTTGATGATATAGCTAACAAAAAACAATGTCAAAGGGGCTGACATATTCAGACAGTTAAAACTCCTTAGAGATTTACAAAGTCATTGAGAGAAACTGTAGAACTTCTCTTGCAGAACCCCTTGAGCTTTAGCTGTCTTACTAAACTAGCCCTACCTTTACGAGAGAAATAATACAGCACTCACTAATTATCGAACGCATTAAAGACCCAGAAATGGTTGTCCAAAGGGCATTGCCAATAAGGAAAATCACTTACAGAATCACCTTAAATGGTAATTAGGAGTCACAGGGGAAGTGATTCACTTAGCGCAAAGGGAGCAGTGCCAACTAGATGCACTCTCTGAGACACCCCTCTTGTGTGCTCTAGCAAACAACTTCCTATTTACGCTCATCCCCTCCCCCTGAAGCAAACCTGTCAAACAAAATGCATTTTGTAGTGCTTTCAAGACACCAAAGAAAAAAAATCTATCATGCACTGAGGCCAACAAATTCTCTTGTTTCCGACCTGAAATGGATTGCAACTCATGCTGTTTTGGGTGTAAGGATAATGAATTAAAGCTCTGTCATAGGTGTGTACTGCTGCTTGTGCAAAATCATAAGGGAGTGAGTAAGTACCAGTAATTGCCATGACACCATTGTTCCAGTTGCCATCATATTCAGAGACAGACCTGACTTCCCATGGGTATTAATCTAACAAATCAAATCATATCTAGTTTTGCATCCAGTTTATAAAATCAAACAAGCCAGAAATTTCCATCCACTAAGAATTTTATACAGAATTGTCATGAAAATCTACAAAGATGTCTGGAACTTTTGCTTTGATATTAGCTTAACAAGCAAGAAGCAATTTTCTAAACACTATTTTTTAACTACTTATCCTTTATTGTAGAACTGCTACTGAACATGGTTATATTGAACACTGAGGACTCACTCTTAAAGAAATGCCAAGAGATTCACATTTTTTATGACAATATATTTTGTGGTTCCATAAATAAATCTCAGCTGTTGGTAACACCTACCTTTGATGCCAACTCCCCGGGATCCTTTCTTTCTAAAAAACCGGATACTTGAGGAAGCTCATCATTCTTGAGCTCAATACTCCATATATACTGCAATGTTAGCAGCAAATTTCCATAGAAAACCATGAATGGTGAACTGATCATGGCATATTTCCTTCGGTCTCGAATCATCCACAATGTGCAAGACCAGATCAGTAACACAAAAGTCAACCAGCTGTGATACGTGATACTCCATGCCTTGTGGAAGGAGGAAAGAGGGGAAAAAGTTCACTGACGCATTCAGAAACAACCTTGATGCATATTTCCAGTTACACTTAACTTACGCTTCTCTACTTAGCCCACATTTTCATTGTCATGAGACTCTCACCCATATTAATCAGCTACTGGGCCAGCTACAATAAACCCCTTGGAGAACGTGCAGAAAGTGGATTCTTAAGAGGTCCACAGCTGAGGCCAAACCCTGCTTTGTGCATTAGTTGCACCTTGGTAAGGTCTGTAAGCAGTCTTATTGCTTCTCATTTCACCGAACGAAAAGAGATGGAAAATACAGACTAACTTTTGCACACACAAGATCTTCTTGCTAAACTAGCAGCAAAGAATTCAGAGTAGGGACAGCAAATCTGCAATAGTAGCAGTAGCAATAGCTACTACTTTCAAGGCTTTTGATAGACTTACAAAACTACACTAACTCCATGCTATTCTAGCTTTTGTGGAATCCATTTAAAATGGAAAGCTATGGTATGCACACATTGCACGCACCTAATCTGAAGAACATTTAGTCTACACTAACCATGTTAGATTACCTGAAATACTCACAACTATAGAATGTTTTATATAGCTTGCAGAAATCAGTTACTGAAAACTTCTCTATTAAACAGTAGGGGAAAAGGATTGGGGTTTTAAGCATTTTTTGTTAACATTGTGTTATCGACTTAGGACTAAATTCAGCTATATATATGCTGGTATAACTGTGGAATAACTTTCAATAAAACATTTTAGATTCCTTTTCAGTTTAAATAGAAAAGTATGAAACATTAAGCACATTTCAATTAGTTCAGCTCTGCTCCTTTGGAAATGATATCCTTTCAGGATATGTGAAAAACACTAATATTCTACTTCTCTGTCCCAACATAAGAAAATAACTTACACTGAGCTGTCTTTGGCTATGGTGTAAGTGGAACTTACATCAGATCACACCATAAAAAAATTCAGGTCATATAAAATAGGGATATATCACTAAGAAAAAAGCTAGTAGTGTCTCGATATTAACTACAAGAAAACTATTCAAATATATCTTCTCCTTTGATATTGAGAGATAGGACCTTAGAAATTAATTAAAAAGGAAATGTAGATCATATGAAGCCCGTGAGTTTAAAAAAATAGGAAAAAAGGGCATTGTGCCAATATGCAAACAACTACTTGCTAATGTTTCAGAATGCATCAAGCCAGATCCAGATTCTGCACAAGAAGTCTGCTTTATTTAGTTGAGAAACTTTGCCTGTTAAAGGACAGCATGCAAACAAGAAGCAGCCAAGCTAATTTGTTTTACCATTTTTAATGCAAAATTGGGCCAAGAAGCTTTATGGTTAATTTCATCACAGTTGAAACCTTTCCAAAACAGTAAAACCAAAGCTTGCACTGGGAATATAGAGAAAGATCTAATCATTATGCTGAAAACTCACTACAGTGCAGCTCAAGGTATTTGCATCAAGTCGGCTTAAAAGCAAGCAACAACATAAGAAGGAGAAATAAGGGCGGTAAGTAAAAAAACCACCAAAATCTTTCTAGGCAAGAAGTTGTATTTTCTTGAGAACTTTCTGTGTCAATATAGGAAATCTGGCTTCACAGATCTTTTCTTCTCAGAGAGTAGCTGGATGCATGCTTCAACCTGAAATAGGAACTATAGTTTTAAAATTTACTATATCACTATGAAATGCTTTAATTTTGCAGGCAAATTTCTGAGTGGAGCAAAAGTATGACAAGCCTGCTTATGCAGAAGCTTTGCAATCAATAGCAAACTGAGCTCCCATGGTTTTCTAACATTCAACGGACAACAAAACGCCTCCCAGTCCTGGAAATGTGCTGTTTTACCCAGAATGTGTTGTCCTATTTATAGGCCTATAACAGGCCTGGGAATTCTGCATTAACAACATAAAAAGGACCCAAAATGATGCCGACACCATATCGATATTTTCTAAACCTGATGCAAACGCTTACTGAAAACCAATCAATGAGATTACTTTCAGGAAAACACTGAAAAGACACATTTATTTGTAAAATTAACTGCATTATTTTTTTTGTTGCCAGTACTTACCATCATAGCTATCAGAGCACAAATGTAACTTTGTTTCATGATAAATTGGAACACGGAGACCAGGGCATGTAATTTAACATTTTCTTTTTCCTCCTGAACAACTTCCTCTTCCCCTTCCTCCTCCTCCTCCTCTTCCTTTTCTAAGTAAAACAAGAAATTATTATTTGCAATTCATGCTGGTCTAAAAGTAGCATATGCACTCTCTCCTGGAATGGTTTCACTTGTAATCATTGTGATGGCTACTTCTACAGCAATCAGCAAGCTCAAGGTGGGAGTCAAAGAAAAATTACATTTGAGCACTGTAAAGCAACACAAAACTCGCAGTTGCTGTGTTGGCAGGCAAAGTATTTTGGTTAGGATATGCCTACAGCCCTCTTTTACAAAACTGCCATCTGGTCAGCCACCACTGTAAGGTGACAGCAATTATTTAACTTCAATGGGCCAAACAGCTTACCAAAATGAAAATAAACGCTAGAGGCAGTGAATGGAGATACAGAATAAGAAAAAATATGGAACTAAGAGTAATTCTCAGGCAATTCACTACCTGACATGTCATCCGAAGGCTCCCATTTGTACTGTGGTGTTGAGTACATGTCTGCTTTGGCCGGACCATTTTCTAACGGCATTGTGGGGTGGATGGTGTGATAGTCAGCAGGGTTCCCGTTCACTGTTACCAGCAGCACCTGCCAGGACAACAGAGAGAGGCACTGCATTCAGGGTGGGTCTTACGAGAATGAGACTCCTACCTCTGTGCTTTGCTAGTGTTGGATCACCAATGTTAAAGGAACTTAACAAATAACTGCAGTTATGTCCTTCCAAATAAATTGATATGCTATAGACATGTTGCATGCAAAAGTAGCACATAACAGCTTCCAAAATTAATTGTTGTTAGCTTTTTATGCAGTATCAATAGAATTACAAATTGTTTTCAGTGAAAAAGTTCTTTAGCAAACAATGAAATGATGCTGCTTCTTTGAACTTCTAGAAATATTTCCCTTAAAATATTTCAAAGTCTTCTTCAAATTTCCAGAAAGTCACATTGCATTAGGTACAATTTCAATCTATGCACAAGCAGTTTGAAAAGGACACACAAGCAAAAGCAATCAAGTCACTGCAGTCAGCTGAGTCATAGTACATGACTATTTGCATGCTCTTGGCCTGTCCTAACTATGAAATCAAATGGAAAGAAAAAAACAGTGTGAAAGAAAAAACACCTAAGATATCCACAGGCGGGGAAGGCCAAGGTTGACCGTACGGCTCAGCGCACAAACAATAACTCAGTGAGCCCATCTTCAGACATCCTACCTTTCCCAGGTTAAATTTGCTTTTCACAGCCAAGCTAGAAAAGTATAATTTTGTCTCCTGCCTTTAAGTTAAAGATGTAACCAAAAATTCATCTTCTTTCTTAGGCAAACTAATTTTCAGACTTCAGTTCACATATAATTATTTCCAGCAGTTACGAAAATAATGATTATAAATTACTTCCAATATTAAATTATTACTGGTGAGATCTACATTTGCTGCCATCAATAAAAGCAGTTGTGGTATTTATTGTTATTGATGTCACATTTATACCACTTGGTAGTACTAATTCAACACTTTTTCATTGTTTCATTTCTGTGAATTAAATTTCAGCCTGATGCTGTGAAAAGCCAGAGTTGAAGACTCAGTAGTCGGAAGACTATTAAGCAGGTATTCTTGAAATGACAGAGTGTTTGGTGCACACGTTTGGAGGAGCGATCCGCCACGTGCCCAGCACCGTAATAAAGAATATCTGCTTAATAATCTTCTGACTATTGAGTCTTCAGCTCCGGCTTTTAACGACATCAAGCCCTTGTGCTTGTTTGGATTAGGGCTCCAGCAACCATAATCATAAATATCTCTCATATTGGCAGAAAATCACATGCAATGGGTTACTGATGGTAACACATGCTGAAGACTGACTTCTGCTTAGACTGTGAGATGGGAGACATGTGTGGACTGTTTCAGACTAGTATCTGGGTTATGTTCAGCTATATTCAGCAGCTATACCAAGCACAGGCTGTCAAGCGCATCTAGATTTAGTTATAGCTGCTCTCAAAGTTCATCTATATCTCCGTTCTTCTGTGTATGCTGAACAGAGGGGATGTTTCTGCTTTCAGAGTCTGCTGGGGTCTATAGCAGTCAAGATCAATGGATCATTTGCTGTCTGTTCAAACAAAGACTTGGATTTTCCATAATCTGTAAACTTATCTCATATGTGTTGTCAGTCATGCTTTAAGGGCCTCAGCATTTCAACGAAATTTCAATGAAAGAAAAAAATACAGCAAAGAAGCTAAATCAAGTTTAAAGATGGCTTGCATTAGAAAGCATATTTTGGTATCTTTTTTAAACCCAGTGAAGTAGCAAAGATCGTTTGCCAGTTGGTACTACTACAAGCAGTTTAATTTCAAATGATCAATTTTAGGGCTAATCAGGGGTTTCTCAGTGCAATTATCAAGAAAGCAAAAGACAATTACATTTAGGATAATCAAGGTTATCTGGTAAATGCAGGCTAACCATAATAAAGATGTGTTAAAAAAGTCATCTAAGCTTTCATCTGTATATATCAGTGTAATCCGTATTTACACACATTAAGAAGAATTACAGAATTACAAAGACTAGTAGTATACTAACATCCGATGGCTTGTATTCATCTTGGGTCATTGACAGAAGCTGCAAAAAGCAATGCAAGGACAAATTATTAAAGAAGCATGGCTCAAGCATTAATAAATCTAACTTTTTGAATACATGCATGCGTATTTGCTGACTTTTGCAAATTTGCACTACGAAATTCAGAAAGAATTCTTAAAATGCCAGCAGAATTGTACACTATGTTCCATAAAATGGTATTTAGTGTGCCATAGCGTTGACATAACTACTGTACGTTCCTGTGAATTCTAAACCAAAACTGAGAATGTTGCATTGAAATTTTAGATACTAGTTCAAAGAATTAATCAGTATGGCATTATACTGATTAACCGCTTTCTAATGTCTTTCTAATGATACAATACTTAAAAACCAAGTTTTTAAATGATCATTAGAATTACTGTAATTATAAAAATACCTCCAATGAAATGTTTATACTAGTACAAAATGTGATGCTTCATTCATTTGCCAGTTCGTTTACCATTACTATTACTATGGTGGAGTTCTTGGGGCTTGAGGATATGTAGCTGAACAGAGTGTTTGTATATCCTAAATTCGACTGCAACTCACCAAATGAAATTTTGCACTGCAGATGATGAGGACAGATGGCAGAAAGCTGGACCTTTCCAGGACCTTTTACACCAACTGCTTTAACCATCCCACTACAAACATCCAACAAGGACACCAGTGTGTTTGGAGGAAGATAAGCTGGCAGTCCCCCCTTAGCAATGACAGTGCTAATCAGTAGGTACAAGGCAGATCTTTACAGGAGGATTTAGCTTCCTTACAGACTTTCTAGCCGTTTTACACAAAGGCCTCATCCTAAAAACCTGGCCCTGAACTTAAATGAAGAAGCTGAAAACACTCTTTTACTTTCTTACACTGGCTCTCGTTTTTGTTTTCTTAATTTTTGCAAAATGCATTCCCACTCTGCCACACAGCTGATTTATATAATCACATGTGAAGACCTTCTTACTTGCATCCTATATAATGTTGCTTCCCTTAACTTCAAAGTAACTGTGATAAAATTAACTGACTGAAATACATTTAATATAAAGACCCTTCCCTCTCCAGCCTTACTTTTCTCTCATCAGTTGTATAGTGGCTTGCATACCACAGACTGCGTCTTCTCTCCGCTGTCATTGGAATTGGGCTGCAGGCTATTTCTTTGTCATCTTCCCTGCTAACAGATTTCTCTTCGTCGGGCATCTGCTAAACAATACAAATGACAAGACTAGTTACAGTTCTCTAAATAACAGTCTTACCAGAGGATTTTAAATTTTCGCTCCCTCTCCAAAGTATGTCTCTGTAACATCTTTTAGTGTCTAATGCACTTGATCTAGGATAGATGACTCTGAGACATTTTCAGAAACGATGACAGAGCTTTTCTACAGCTGCTAGTCTGCCAATGCCAAGATGCTTCCTGATAGTTACAAGATACCAGAATTACACAGATCTCCACATCTTACCTTACTATATAGTCATACCATAAGCTAGTATACAGATGTTTAATTTTCAAGGCAGTGTATTGAAAGAAAATTCACTCTCCTCATCTGCCTATATATGTGAAAAGCCAATTCTGCTTCATAAACAACTGAAAAGATCAAAACCTTTTGAGCATACACATCTACCATTAAAGGCTAACCTAACTCTCTATTCCGTGCCTCACTATGTAACAAAGTCAGTGCTGGTCATCCATCTAGGCCCATCTAGTCTAGCTTCTGAGTCAAGCCACAGAAATACCTGTGTCTGCTCATGCTCGTATGCAGGACAAGATGACTAGAAAAAGCCAATACAGATTTACCAAGGGTAATGTAATTGCTATTTATGCTAAAACTGGCTCAGTGGATGAAGGGAAAGCTGTGGAAGTCATCTACCTTGATTTTAGTGAGGTGTTTGATGCAGTGTCCCACAACATCTTTTCTGACAAGCTGATAAGATATGGACTTGACAGATGGACCACAAGATGGGTGGAGAACTGGCTAGACTGTCTTGCTTAAAGTGGGATAATGGCTCAAAGTCAAAGTAGTAGTTGGTCATGAGTGGAGTTCCTCCAGGACTGACAGTAGGTCTGGTACTATTCAGTATCTTCAAAACTATCTGGATGGAATGAACCCACACAAAGATTGTGGATAATGCTGAACTGGGAGGTGAGGTAGATGGGCCAGAAGCAAGAGCCAGAGATAGATTAGAGATGGGCCAACAAAAAATGCACAAAGTTTACAAAGTTCAATACAAAGTCCTGCATCTGGAATAATCCCACATAACAGTAAAGGCTGTGGACTGACTGTGCAGGGAACAGCTCTGTGGCATAGGCCCAGGGGATCCTGGTGCACAGCAAGCTGAACACGAGCCAGCAGTGAACTCCAGCAGCAATGAAGGCAAACATGTCCTGAGCCACATCTGCCAGTGTACTGCCAGCAGATCAAGGGATGTGATTGTTCCACTGTACCTGGCAAGTCTCAGGCCATACCTGCAATTCAGTTCTGGCATCCCCCAGTTCAACAGACATAGAAAATCTGGAGACGGTCCACCAGAAAACTGCCAAAATGATCAGAGGGTTGGAGAGGCTGAAGGATGCAGGAATTGGTTTTTCTTCAGCCTTCTAATACCTAAATTCTAGTTTTAGAGAAGACAGAAGTACTCTTCTCACAGTGAGGCATGATTATAGGACCAGAGGCTAAAGGCATAATTTGCTTCAGGGAAATGCCTCCTGGTTATAAAAAAAGAAGTATTTCACCGTGAAAAAAATTAATCATGGGCATTGGCTGCCGTTGCTGGAAATATCCAAGACTTGGCCCTAGACAACCTAATCTGAGGCTCTGCTCTCATAAGAAGTTGGATCAGATGGTCTCCAGAGGTCCCTTCCAACCTGGACTGTTCTGTGACTCTGATTGTCTATGATCCACATGTTCTATTTCTTCACCTGTGACAGGAACTACTACCACTAAATTGTGGAGGATTGCTAATGCACTGGTCTTAACTCTATCTTAATTCCGTGGCTCAGCAGGGGTACGGGAGCTCTCAAATAGACTGAAGAGGGATGTTATTACAGCACAGTGACAAGCAGCACACATGGGTACACATACACAAACCATGCTAGGTTACAGCTCCTCTTTGGGCTCCTCCAGACCTCTTCCTGCACTGTCCTTTCTCCTGCGATCTCAAACTTCACAGCTGAGCTGGCACAAAACAGCAAAACCTTCCTGCTCATACCAGTGAGAAGAGGAAGCTCAAACATGTGGTACTAAAGGGAGGAAGGGGATGCTCTGGAGCAGCAGGCTGCACGTGAAAGCTGTGAGCATCTCCAGCCCAGTGTTGCTCAGCAGGACTCACTGGCCCCAGGAGACCATGAGAGAGAAGCTGCCAGTACTGAAGTTACTCTGCTTTCTGCCTTTGACCAATTTCTCATTTTGAACTTTAGACCTTGACCTGACTTTTTATTTTCATTACTATTTGCCCTCTCTACTTCCTTAGTTTTCTGGTTTCTCCTCCCAAAACTTCATGTGGTTTTTAGATTTTTGGCTCCAATGGAAATGATAAATATTCAAAATTTGAGAGGAAGTTATGCAAGAACATAAAGTGAATATTATGGAATAACATTTGCAGTGGCTATTTCACTCTGCCATCCATTAATGCCTGGATGTTTAACTCAAAACTAGTAGGAAATAGTGAGGATTGAAAGGTAGACTTACCTATGCTTTGAAATACTGTTTTAAAAAAACTGTTTTACTATGCAACAACGTGCTGTAGTACTAAACACACACACATGTCATTTTAATAAGAAATTTAAAGTGCTCGAGTCTGGCTTTATATTGCTGTTGAACTTACCAAAGTTCAACAAACTGAATTACCAAATTCAAGGAATCACCAAAACTCTACTTCCTCTCATCACAAACTCCACTGGTATCAGCTGTTTATGGTATTGAACCAAATCCTCAGTTGTACAGCTGTAAGGTCTTGCTTCATAAAACCACCCCTATTTAGAAAAGTACACAAGTGCTTGTGTGACTTGGAACCTGGGATGAGATCTTACTGAGTTCATTAGGACTGAAGTGGAGGTTCAGGAACTTTGCTGAGCTGCAGCCAGAATATAAAATACACACCAGCTTTAGTAGCGTTATTCTGAATTTACCCTGTTATTAACTACAAAACAACTGATCAAGTCAACTGTCATATATTATTTCAACCTGGACTGTCCATTTGTAAGGACTTAAGATTTTCCTCTTGCCTATTTTGTCCTTTCTGCTTAGCAGATACCTGTATTTCTGCTTCAAATTAAGTCCTACTAAGTTGACTTGTGGTTTGCAACTGAAAAATCCGTCTGCCCTGGTACCTGCTCTTTTACTTAAACTCTATCTACTGCCAACAAAGAGACACCTCATGGTGTAAAAGCTAGTTTTTGTCTGAACATAAGGTACTTCGAAGGCAGGGTCCCAAATTAGGCTTTCAATGGGAACTAGCTGGTGGTAAGTGTTCTCATTGTTTATTCAAAATTAGCTGATGCAACAGAAGAAGAATAAATCAGGATGCTGGGAAGAGGTCTGCAAAGCTATCCACGGGAACAGGACACCCAAACATCCTAGCTGATTTTCAAACTCTCTCCATTACCATTCTAACAGTAAGGTCATATTTTTTAAGTCTTAACTTAGATAAACAATGGTTATTAATTTAATTTTACTTCTCAGAGGCAATGGTAGCACATTTCACATATGATTGTGTATTTATATTTGATTGTAAAAAGGCATTCTTAGCCAAACTGTAAGACAAAATAAACTGATTCTGTTCTTAAAATATTTGTCACTGTCACTTGAAACTTGAATATAAAAGTGGACCATAAAGACCTGTTTATCAACAGCATTTAGTTTGGCAGAAGACCTAAGATGTAGACAATGATTTTAGCAACATATTTTTAGCCTAAGAGACTATAGGGAAGGATAGGAAATCTTGTCTCCTCTTTCTCAGCAGAGGAAGAAAAGTCAGAAAACACTGTACTAGTCATATGGCTACAACTTGTGACAGTCCTTTGACTTGACTAATTCTTCCAGTTCTTCCACTACCTGAGCAACTCTCGACTGTCTCTTAATTCAAACAATTCTAAAAATTCTAGAAGAGGACTCCACATTAAATTGCTGTAACTGTTGACTTCTGTGGTATTCCTTACCACTCACTGGACAGAATGAATGGGCCCTATTCATATATTCAGTACTAGCAGTTACAACTATGAGCTGAAATCTCCAGAGGCAGATTGCCTCTTCTTATTTGCAGAGGTAGAATTTCACAAGACTCAATGTTAGAACAAATCAGGATCCAAAATAACAGGCATAAGTAAAGCAAAGCTTCCACTGACTGCCAAGGGCGTTTTGCATGAGTAAGATCCCTGCAAAATCCCACACAGAGACTGTACACTGAAATCTAGTATGTGCCGTAGTTTGACAGACTGTGGTGCACATACAAAACGTTTCACCCTGAAACTCAAGATTTGAAGTGGGCATTGTTCTTGCAAAATTGTTCATCACTTGCAGTACTCAGAGACAGTCTCAACAGTGTCTGTCTCAGAGACAACTCCTGTTGCAATCCAGCAGAAATTGTTGTTCACAGGAGGACCCCAAGATGTCATTCACATGAGAAGGAAAAAAGAGCAAGTCTACATGTCTTAGTCAGTTTTTAGAATCTGCTATGCCAGTATTGTATTTAGCTTATGTACATATTTTTAGACTGATTAAATATTTCCTTACGCATAATCTATCATACACATTTTCTTCCAAACAGGTTTTGTTCAAGAGATTCTTTTGAATAAAATTTCTAAGGTGAGCCACTTTTTACCACACATGGCAGCAGTATGCACAGAACAACTGCTTTACACTAAACAGCACATAGCATACTATCTTTGCCATCCATCCAACTATAGATAAGTTAATGGTGAGATCCTACATACAGTGGAACTTTGAAATCACTGGGGATTACAAAGGCGGGTTATATACTTCGTTCCATAATGAATCAAATGCACCACAAATCTGCAAGTCAAAAAACATTTCAATGAAACATGGAATACAACTATTTCTGGATTTAAATAATTGAGAATGGAGTCTGACAGGAGAAAGCTAGTAAGAGACACATTAATTCCTGATCTATGGCACTACTAAATGAAAAACAAAATGCATGTAGACAAAAAAGGCCGTAAGGAGAAAGTGTCTAAAAGATGGTAAATATTGCAAATGTCAGCATCTCTTTCTAATGACAAATACTTGCATCACTACATCCTGTGCATAAAAAATAAGCATTAATGCATGCGTATCATTTTCCTTACAATATTTTCTTTTTCAAGTGCCCGTTTATCTTCAGAGGAAAGCATCGCTCTGCTGGCATCTGAATTTCCCATGGGAGTGCCAAAACTTTGTATTGCCTCTCATGCAGCCATAGGTTTGAGAGACATCAGACTTTCTTGAATTAATCTCTTTTAATACTTATATTATCTCAATTATTACTTGTATTATCTCAATTGCTTAGAAGCCATCTCCAATTTGACTTGTTTCCAGTTCTCAGAGACTGATTTTAGTGTCTTATCGGAATATCCATCTCAGACAACACGAGTAGTCTAAAAGACAGAAATGCAGGCAAGTCCACTACAGTTCCTCACTAGACCCTGGAGGAACTTGCAGGATTCACTCCATCCTGAGACAGAAGGGCCCATTTCTCTCCACTGAAAAAGCACAGTAACTAACTTAGACCCAGCACCAAACTTTAAGATGGTTAAAGTTGGATGAAAACAACCAGGGTACTGTAAATGAATTCACAGAGATGCTGAGATCACACAGCTCCCACTAACTGCATTTCACATGTGGTTACTCCTCTGTGAGTCATTCTCATGATTTTACTATGCAGTTTGTGAGATGTGAAGTTTTAGTTACAGCCCCAATGCTAAAATCATATTATTATTTGGAAATCTCAGTTTTCACTTCAGGAAAAAAAAAAAGCAAGTTTCCAGGTGCTGCAGCTTCAGAAAAAAATAATAGGAAAGAAATTCCTTAAAGAACCCAGTGCCAGAGGGCACTGGACCACAGCCTTTTAAAACCTTGTGACTTCAGAAAAGAAGTCTTAACATTTCTGGAAACTTAAGACACAAATTTTTTTAATAACTCAAGCTGACAGTTCTGGCATCATTCACCTTTTATTATGAAGCCCAATATATGTAAATCCCAAATATCAGACATTTCAATTCAGAGGTGGTGTATTTTGTCTGCCTTTTTAAATGTTAAACTGTTACATTATCCATTATAAGAAGAAACACCCTTAAAATAAGAAAACCTTCAACATTTTTACTGCTACTACAAACTCCACTAATTCACAGCTCAGTCATAAGTATTTTCACTGTGGTTTACAGCGCTGCTAAAACTCTAAAACTCATGTCAAGTCTTAGATGATCAGGAGATTAAAATAAATAATGCTTAGGATCATACTCTTTATACTTCCAGCTTCTAAGCTTTTAAGATACCTTTGGGTTCTTCCATTTCCTTTTTCTTCTGAAACTGGAAGAAGTAAAAATTTACTTTTTGTCTCGTTTCTCTCTTGTTCTTAAATGAAAGCTGGGATTTTCACTCAGGTGTACAGATTCAGGAGGAAAGATTTAAAGAACATTTATCTCTGTCTGTGTTAAAATAGCTTGTCTTGTCTTGCAGTAGCCTGTTCCTGCCTGTATCCTACTTCAGTCCTGCTAGACAAGCCCTGAGTGTTTGCCTTCTATTCGATCGCACCTACAGTACATCTTATTGACACTGGTTTTCCACATCAGAGTGTTAGCTCTCTGCCACTGTAGCCTCTACACAAATAGTCCTGCTGACTTTAAGAAGAATATCCATGTAACTGCTGAAAGATCAGACTCTTGAAGACACTTATAAAAAAGACCAAATTCAAGGTACCAGCCTGCACTTGCTTTCTATTTCCCTTAACTTTCTTGAATATTTGCGCCTCTGTTAGCAAGTATCTGCACTGGCCAGTCTCACAGTCACTAGCGCTAAAAAGGAGAAAGAAGTTACCCTTACAATGGGCTCTTGTAGCCAAAGACGGATAAGAGTTGCGAGGGTGTAGTACATCACTAGCAGTAAGATTGGATTAGCATGGTGATACCAATGTAACTCTTGATTTTTGATGATCATCCAAGTGCTTGAGCAGTTTGTCTGAGTAAGAGAAGTCACACCAAACAACCTGTGGATATAAAAAATCAACTGTTAGAGTACAAACACCAAATCTTACAACGCTCAAAAATTTTTTTCCAGTAATATTTTCTTACGTGTAATACTGATTGCTCTGCTCAAAAATGGTATATGCCATCTTATCTAAAACCCAGTGACTATTTTCATTCCACAATATTTAGTGAAAAGGAATGTTTTTGGCATTTGGTTTTCAACATAAAAAACTGGCAGTATAATATTATTACATCTACTGTGTCCAATGTGAAAACTTCAAATGACCTGTGCCCTGTAGGTCCAGAGCTACAGAAAAAGGGGAGAGAAAATTTGGCTGCAAGACCGTCTGGCAAATCACAGCAACATGACATTTCACAGTGATTTAGTTAACTGACATAAAACACCGTTCCATTCACTCTGCCAGGACAGAGCTGTAAAGTACATCTCCTCAGCACATTGAACAGCTTACTGATTTTTTTTTAAAGCTAATACTATTAATATTTTTATAATTATACAAATACTTTTAAACATCGAAAGCTCCATTGAATTCACAGCTGTTGTGAACAAAAAAGGAAAAATATTCAGAAAGGCAATTGTTCCAGATGATCAAATCATTAAGGAAAAAAAAGAAGAAAAACTAATTCCATAATTAGTATAAATGTAGTTGTAGTATTAATAACAACGATATGAGATATTTGATAACTTCTGGAAAAAACGGTATCTCACAATACTTCTATCAAATTGGAAAAAAATTAAAGAATAAAAAAAAATCCCCAACATTTTACATTTAAGACAAGATGTTAGATGCTTTATAGATGTGCTAGATGTTGAAACAAAACTAGTAGGAAGTCAAAATTAATTTAGTTATTTCAGTGTAAAATATTTTGCATAGTTCCAAAGATATTGCATAGAGTTACCAGTAACATATGTCAGTATTCATTCTAAACAGTTTTGGTTTATTGACAAAGTTTTTCCTTCCACAATGTGTATGAAACTTGTCAGTTTTTACAAGAAACAGCTTTGGTTCTAAGAGAAGTTTAAGGAGAACTATTTATTGACAGAAAAAAAAACCCCAAAGCTATCATTACCCTGAAAGAGTAAACCAAATACTCTAAAAAAAAAGTTTATCTGCTGAAGGGTTTAATCATAAACAGTAAATGTCTAAAAGATTACTTCTTCCTTTACCTAGTAAGTTGTGACATCAAAAGGTGAATGAATAGAAAGAATGATATTCAACAGATACATACTGCCTGAAATCTGCCCTTTGGATGCTATAGAGTGAAAAGTATATAAAAAAAGGAGAGGTTATACCTGTTTGTTCACTAGGGGATTATGGCATGGGTATAATACCATTAACTGCCAGACCTAGAGCTCTGAAGCATTTTATTAAACAATTTATCAGCACTCACTTCTCATTCTGATTGTCAACATGAGCCAAAGGCTATAAACTTTAAGGCTTCTCAGAGCTTTTGGGCGGATCCAAGGTTGGAAAAGAAAAAAAAAAAAGTCCTGCATACAAAATAAATTGTTGTAACTTAAAGGAGCTGACAGAGCTCTGTTTGGAGCTGACCCAGCTTCAAACTTCCATAGCATCCAAGCACATTCAGGGCTGGTGTTACAGTTTGGCTCCATCTGACTGAAATTCACGCTGGACTGTATTCTGTTCATATTTCTGTCAGCGTAGGGGAACATCTTGTTTTGTCTGCTTTCCTCTCTGCCGGCCGACTTGTAAATTTTGCCCATCAATGATTAGGGCTGTTGAGTTCCTATTAGTTTCATCATCTACCTTTATTTCACAACAAATCCCTCCATCTTTGGTTCATATTAAGCTTTTGTATGTAAGCACAGTACAAATTTCTGTTTCTGTTTCACAAACATATCAGAATCAGAGTGAAATCCAATTCTTAGTGAAGTAAGAACTCTTTCCATTGGCGGTGAGTGATTTCCTACAGAAATGAGGGAAACATGAGTTTCTGAATGTCCTTGGACCCTTCTGTCAAGCAGACACGATCTTCATATCACATACTCAATTTCTATAGTACATAGCATTATTTACTATGAAGTCCCAAAAATTTGTGTTTTACTTTTATCTCCACTGAAGAAACATTCCACTTAATCCTACCAGTTAGGAGATTTTATGTTTCAGTTAAATCCTCATTCTCTTAGTTTCATTTGCTTGCTTCAAATTATCCATATGTTACAGTATTGGACTTAATTCTGCTCGCTTCTGGTCCTGCATTCACCAAATGCACAGAAGTTACAATGCATCTCTTCCCTCTTAGTTACCACCGGACCAGCTTCGTATTTATTCAACCCATTTCACTTTGTCTCATAAATCATGAATCTAGAGGAACTGCTCCTCAGTTCTGAATTCTCCTTGGGTTTTGAGACTTGTTAGTCACAAAGGTACTCAACACAACATTCTCTGTCTATCAAATCAAAAATGCACTGACGTCTTGGGAATGCTCATTCTGTCTGTTCTGGCCTCCAGTAAGGCTACTAGTTGCTGCTCATTCAATATTTATGCTTCATCATTATCTTCAATCATAACTGCTGATGCAGAACATTTTTCGGAGACATAGATACATCTTCTCTTATTCAAAGCTTTTAAATACACAGGAATGACTGCCATAAAACATATAAGCATTTACAGGAAGCAACATATATTCTGGCATTATTCAGTTCTGCGTACTTCAAGATGTCATTACATTCAGTATTGATCACAATCAGCTATGTTTGTGCCCAACTCTGATCTTGGTGTGACTTTGTCTTAGACAACATACTTGTATAACATCAGTGAAGTCAGAATGAGTCCTAAGAGAGGGAAATCAGATGCCAAACATATGCATGTCTGGATACAGAAGACATGAAGACACATAAAACAAATACTGAGCGACCATTTACTAATGGAAATACTTTGCTTTTCAAAAGATTGCATGTAACATCAAAAACAACTGGAGGTTTACAAGATATAATAGACTAATCTTTCTATTTTGCAAAGAAGCAAAAATTCTTTCTTTTCAAAGTCCTTATCAGCATTCTGAAAAATGCATTTTATTTAAAAAAAAAAATATAGTAGAAATAAGTTGGAAAATTTTAGAAATTGTAAAGGGCCAAAGGGAACTTCAATGTCTGACTGATGAATGCTCTGAAATAACACAGTGAAAAACAGTTATTAAAATAAAGATGATATCTTTTTGTCCAGTTCTTACTCTATAAGCTGGTTTTCCCAGCAAAGCTTCCTACTGAATCTGTGAATCATCCTTCTCGCAGATGCACTTTCATCTTTTGTGATTCCCTGACAAAGCTGTAAGCTGTGACCATAACACAAAACACCAACTTTTTATATGTCTAGTATTAAATATTAGAAAAGTAATTTCAATTTTAATTGAAAACAGAAAAACAAATTCCTTTTGCACCCACAGATATCTGACCTAAGGAGCAGCTGAAGTACCACATGTTTAATTGCTACAATATGTACATTGCTTGAACTTCTCCAGCATGTATTATTTATTACACTAATTATAGTATAAGAATTGGTGTTAGTAATTAGTCATAGTATTAAATACGAAGAAAAACTTACATAAACAAACAAATTAAATATATATCTCAAACATGGAATTATCAAACACTGTAAATACAGATCTGTTAGGTCTGTGAATTTTGCCTCCAGTAAAAACGATCTGGAATATTTTTCTTTGTAAAAAAATATTTGTCAGTTCAGATCCTGCATGTACTGATGTTTTAGGAGTTGATTTCAGACCAGGATTTGCCTCATAATTTCCAGGGCCAGGAAAGGAAGTAATAATTCTGACTTCCTGCACAATGTAGGACAGACTATAATTCCTGTATTGAAAAAAAAACTTGTGGTCCAATTACAGTTTATAATTTAGAAAGGCATCCAATCTCGATTTCAAATGATAGCAAATCTTTTACTGCCTTATTATTTTCTACTGCATATAGTTTCTATAACGGTTTTGTCTAGATCAGATTTCCAGTTGCTGCGTCTTCCTACAACTCTGTGTACTACTTTACATACTACTTCTCACTACACACCAGAGCAGGAGTCATCTTCCTATATCTTCTCTGAGCTTCACAATTTATAGCAACCTCATCCAATGATCCAGAACAAGCATCTAGAGTCCACCTCCACAGCACTGCACAGCTTTCCCCTCTTTGTACAGGCTTGGGGTCACTATTGGACACCACCCAAGCTATCAGAGTAGAAGCCTATATTTGCATGTTTATCCATATACATTTGGGCTTCTTTGGACAGTTTAACATCAGTTAGGAAACAGGTGAAATCTGTTTTATTGCTACAGTATTAGATCTGCAGTTTCTAAACTTTCTTCTATGAAGAGCTACTGGAGAGAGTCCAGCGGAGGGCTACAAGGATGGTGAGGGGACTGGAACATCTCCCCTACGAGGAGAGGCTGAGGGAGCTGGGCTTGTTCAGCCTGAAGAATAGAAGGCTGCGAGGAGACCTCATAAATGCTTGTAAATATCTCAAGGGTGGGTGTCAGGAGGATGGGGCCAAGCTCTTTTCAGTGGTGCCCAGTGACAGGACAAGGGGCAATGGGCACAAACTGAGGCACAGGAAGTTCCGTCTGAACATGAGGAAGAACTTCTTCCCTCTGAGGGTGACGGAGCACTGGAACAGGCTGCCCAGGGAGGTTGTGGAGTCTCCTTCTCTGGAGATATTCAAGACCCGCCTGGACAAGGTCCTGTGCAGCCTGCTGTAGGTGACCCTGCTTTGGCAGGAGGATTGGACTAGATGACCCACAGAGGTCCCTTCCAACCCCTACCATTCTGTGATTCTGTGATTCTGTAAACTGGTCAGTATAAAAATCTTGATGCACTAATACACAAAACCAAGGAAAAAATTCAAGGACAATTAAGCTTCCGTTTTTTTGTCCCAAGTAATACCTACTACCTTGTCTTCCTAAGGAACCGTTTCATCTCTTTTGTCTTCCTGGCATTGAGTGAGCATGCTGACCAGTTCCAGAAAATATCAGCAGA